GTGAAATGGAAGATGCCTCAGTACAAGGTGACACGACGTGCGAAATACCTGGAACAAAACAAAAGTATGAGCGACCAGTTCGCCTAAATGCCATTTGTTTTATATACATTCATCAAAGTAAGCTTCTCTGTTGTAAAACTACAATTTACTGAGCACATCGTGTCTGTTACCCACGAGTGCTAAACACCAACAAAAAGGTACCTTGCGGTGCAACGGGGCCAATGGTAAAAATCAAGTAACGGGTGAAAGGTATTTAACACGCTGTGTGGCTCAAACACTCCACAACAGCACCCTGTACGGCTCAAACACTCCGTCAGGTAATTAATGATTAAAGAATTGTAACACTGTGTGGCTCAAACACTCCACATCAGCACCCTGTACGGCTCAAACACTCCGTCAGGTAATTAATGGTTAAAGGATTGTAACACTGTGTGGCTCAAACACTCCACAACAGCACCCTGTATAGCTCAAACACTCCGTCAGGTAATTAATGATTAAAGGATTGTAACACTGTGTGGCTCAAACACTCCACAACAGCACCCTGTACGGCTCAAACACTCCGTCAGGCAATTAATGGTTAAAGGATTTTCGCTAGCGGCTCAAACACTCCGTAATAGCGTCATTTTTTAATGATATAAGGCAAAAATGCCAAAACTAAAATGTAAATCAAATCACCAGGAATTTAGCAATTCTGATATTTAGGTAAACCTGGAAATGTTCTGTAAGTAAACTCACCGGTAATTGTTAGTTATTTTCACAACTATAACAATTCAGCACAATTCAGTCCTTTCTTTTTTAAAACCACATGCACGAAACACCACACACACACACACTAAAAATGATGAGATCTTAGCTGAGCTTTCTGGCTTCAGCTACTATTCCCGCGCTTGTCCCATGCATTTCATTTTCGACTGCTCTTAACTTAATGTGTCTGGTGTCGCCGGTGTCAATAGAACCAATAAATTAGTCTAATGAATAAACTAAATTCCAACAAGTAAACTGACTTCTTACACTTACGCATTTCACTTAGGGGCTATGATTAGCGGCAATAAACCAAAAACAAACTGGAATGTTTGGTATTGATAAATTGTGTGACCCGCACGATAAGAACGATTTTAACTTCCCGTATAAATCGATTTTTGTATCGGACATCCGTATATTTATAAGTTTGCTTTAAGCTCCAAACTTAGCTATCGTTCAATTATCAAATATCAAGCAGGAATCGCTAACTTTGCCAGTCCACTTCATCACCATTATCGACGAAAGAACGATAACCGAGCTTTCAAACTAACAGCATATTTCTTGTAAGATACAATATAAAGTTAGCTCGGATACAGTTAGACCTAAAAACCAAGTTGAATACCGGACTTTGCAAAACTTTTCTCATGTTATCAATCAAAGTAAGTGAAACGTAACGGCCATTTTACTGACTGACGCGTACACTGTAAATGGGGTCTACGGCAATAGTCAACACGAATAGATTTTGGACCAAAGGCCATAGGACGATAAGCATAGTGAATCGGCCCCAGAGGAATATCTGGATAATTTTTTCAGGGGACATTGATACTAATGAGGTACGTTAATTTTGAAAATTTAAGACCGCTATCTATTTTGGTTTTTGAATAAATTCAAAAAAACGAAAAATCAGAAAATAATTTTTTTCTCAAAAACGGCTCAATCGATTTAATTGAAATTTATACACGTTATGAAGGTATATAAGGGCTATACTCGGAAAAAATAACAGCTCATAATCTTTATAATAACCATTAAAAACAGGCATTTTTTACCGAAATTATTTTTTTTCTTTATGATAATGTTCTAGAACAATTTTGAAATAAACTTTTTTTTATGCCCTTTTTAATATAGAATAACCCCTCAAATTCTTAAATCGATCAGAAAGGTACGCCATATTGAAAAACAAGAAAAACCGATTTTTTTTATATAAAAATCGATTTATTTTACTTTTTATACTTTTGAAACAAAAGAAAAGCGGGTTAAATGATTAATTTTATAAGTGCAAATAACATCAAATATTGAAAACAATAGTGTAATTGTTTTTTTAAGTCAAAATATTAAAAAAAGGAATTATAAACTATATTTAGATAAACCAAAAGATGACTCATTAATGTTAGTGATAGTCAACTATTTTGAATTTGAATTTGATAGTCAGCTATTTTGAATAAGTCAGAGGCACTGAAGCATTTTGCCGCCATTTCAGCTTGGGCAATTGTTGCTGTCATGCGTGCGTTCAGAAAATTTAGTTTTCTTTTGCGGTTTCAAAGTTCTGTTTAAAGCATTTATAGTGCAGTTATCAGCTTCGTTAATCTTCTTTGTGAAAACTAGAGAAATTACTCGTTGATTCAGTGTTTAGGGTATTCAGACGCTTGAGTATCGATTTTTCATCGATCCAACGTCAACGCTTTTATTGCTTTTATATTTTTTGTTTAACATAATAATTATTTTTCTTTAAAAACTCTTTTAAGTGAATAAATAAAAGTTTAAAACTAATAATCCGAGGTGTTGTGTGTGTTCAAGATTGACAAAAAAAATATCGGGTACTTCACAGGAAGATGTTGAACAATTTTCGGCTGTCTGAAAATTTATAAGAAAATAAAAGTTGATGATGGGAAACAAAAAAAAGCCTTTAGGAGGTGAATCACCTCGAGATACAGTTAAGTTATTTAAAAAAACTGAATCGAACTTATCATTAATGTCTTTGTCTCAGTCAAGCTCTGATGATCCATCGTTTGATCTGAATGTTATATGCAATGATACTGAAGAGTGTATTGATGTTCAAATCAAAAGAACTGTTATAACTCATAGATATTGTTGTGTATGTTTGGTTCAGAATAGAAATCTATGGTTGTTCCTCAAGATACTCGTATGTAGTTCATAATTAAGCGACGGATTTTCATTCCCAATGGAAATCGATGCTGTAAAGATCATTTGATAAATAAGCGCTTTTATGAAGAAGATCTCTACCTAATAAAAGTTTATTGTAATTGGAGCATTTTGAGATCATCAGAGTTAACTAAAATTAGGGAAAGCTTTGCTGTTGAGTGTGACTCTACACTGCTCGATAGGATGGATGATTGAATCATGAGAAATACAAATACTCGTACTGTACAGAAACTCCGTACCGACAATTCAAACAAATTGATATCAGCGACTTTACAATTAGAAAATGAGCAGTTAGTTTCAAAATATTGTGAACAAGTGATACAATCATTTGAAAAAGATGTATTATCTCGTTACTTCGGTTTTCGATCTATGTCCAGACTATCAAATTCAAATTCAAAATAGTTGACTATCACTAACATTAATGAGTCATCTTTTGGTTTATCTAAATATAGTTTATAATTCCTTTTTTTAATATTTTGACTTAAAAAAACAATTACACTATTGTTTTCAATATTTGATGTTATTTGCACTTATAAAATTAATCATTTAACCCGCTTTTCTTTTGTTTCAAAAGTATAAAAAGTAAAATAAATCGATTTTTATATAAAAAAAATCGGTTTTTCTTGTTTTTCAATATGGCGTACCTTTCTGATCGATTTAAGAATTTGAGGGGTTATTCTATATTAAAAAGGGCATAAAAAAAAGTTTATTTCAAAATTGTTCTAGAACATTATCATAAAGAAAAAAAATAATTTCGGTAAAAAATGCCTGTTTTTAATGGTTATTATAAAGATTATGAGCTGTTATTTTTTCCGAGTATAGCCCTTATATACCTTCATAACGTGTATAAATTTCAATTAAATCGATTGAGCCGTTTTTGAGAAAAAAATTATTTTCTGATTTTTCGTTTTTTTGAATTTATTCAAAAACCAAAATAGATAGAGGTCTAAAATTTTCAAAATTAACGTACCTCATTAGTATCAATGTCCCCTGAAAAAATTATCCAGATATTCCTCTGGGGCCGATTCACTATGCTTATCGTCCTATGGCCTTTTTGACAGCATTATCAAATCTAGCGACAAATTTCGTCCTAAATGTTCTCTGTTAGGCTTCTGCAGCCACATATTTTATTCATGGAACCCACTTTAGGTTGTTCGGTTGTTCTACCGAAGCTGCCCACGGCGTGAAATCGCGATCTACTTCTGAAAGTTGCTATAAAATTTCGATCAATGCCGTTTTATTGAGGTTTTCTCTCTAGTATCACGACTATCGACGTGAAATATTTAAAAAAGAAACTGGTTAGTTCCTTTGGTGGTAGGTTTCGTTGAACACGTTCAATTAATACGTTTTTGAATAGAAATGTGTTTATTTTTAATTTAATGATGATGACGGTCATCATCGTCTTCATAGTCTTCAGTCCGAGAACTGGTTAGAGTACACATCTCAATTACTTTCTATTTTGTGACAACCTTCCTGGATCCAGTTCAACAAGTAGGTAGATATCCATCAATGTGAGTGGACCTTGTTGAACATATTGAACTCCACTATATGCAGCACTGTACCACGTAGGGCGCTGTCTTGAGCGGCTGGTGAAGTTGGCCTGTGTTCTGTCGAAACTGTCTGCGACGCGCTGATGAGATCCAACAAGATCAAAATTGCGATCTGCAGTTTGGATAGAATACATGCTACCATGAACTTCTTTGTATTGGTACAATAATAAAATAATGAATACCTTGCACTGAATTAGCTTCAATAGAGCAGATTCTAGACGAATATATACATGTATTGATAATGACCTTTATTAATATAATATAAACTAAAAGAAAACTGGTACAAACAAATAATAATTAAAAATGAAAATCATTTGATACACAAAGAATAATAATTAAGCCTAACCTCACTTCTCACACAATAAAACAACGACACCGTGTTGACCGCCAGAAACTCCATACACCGTGCACTATCGACCCACCACTAAAATGGCTCCTTGGGTTGGTACTCACATAACAACCTTTTTTTTTTTTTTTATGTTTTCGTGGAAGAGGGGAAATCTTCAAGACACCCAGCCGTCCGTACGACTGGGTAGTGTCGGATTCCCGAGCTTTGCGCAGTGGCGATATCGTAACCAATGAGGTTTATCCGAGGTGCGATTATTGCTAGTTGAAAACATAACAACCTTCACCACTACCTATACGACCCGTTTGTCGGTTCGGTACTCGCACGTACACATACCTTAGTTCTAAATTTATCTTAGCTAACTTAGGTGTAGGTGTAATATAATGATTAATGAATATATGAATGCATTTCACCTTTTCAGAACCTTTGCACAGGAACTTAACTCAAACTCATTTCCTGACGACTTCTTGTTTGGTGTAGCAACTGCTTCATACCAAACTGAGGGCGCGTGGAACGAAAGTGGTAAATAGCTTCACAATTTTTTTCATTATCTTATTGGTATTGTACACTTTAAAAAAAAAAAAGGAAATATGTCTAATCCAGTGGTTTCTAAACTCTAGGGTGTGCACGCTTACGTGAGCAATAGGGGAACACCGTCGCTTGGGTCGTACCTATCTATGAAAGTATTATAGATTGTTGCTAAAATTGAGGGTAGGGGACAATATCTACGGTATTTTTCAAAGGATCGCCTTTTTCTTTCGAAAAATTTGACCTTGACATCTTTATATTATTCTTGATTATTTTTGCAATGTTACTGATATTAAAAATAAGCTCCAATAGAAATACTAGTAGCCATATGCATCTGCAGAGGTTTGTTTATTTTTATATACGAGGGCGGTTCAATAAGTACCCGTGTTAGAAATGAAGACATCTTTTTTTTTTAATTTTTCTTTTTATTTTTCTACATAGTCCCCTTTTAGAAAGATACACTTCTCCGAACGACCCTGTCATCGTTTTTACCCCTCCAAAAAATGAGATTTGTCGAACTCTCCAAAATCCCCGCTGTCTCGGCGACGACTTCCTCGTTTGAGCTAATTTTTTTTCTCGCTAGTCATTTCTTCATGGTAGGGAACAAGATGAAGTCGCAGGGAATCAAATCGAGTGAGTACGGGGTGTGCGGCAGCAAATTCATAACGTAATTCATGCATTTTGGCGGCAACAATTCCTGATGAATGTGCCGGTGCCAGTTACCGAACGAAACTGCTCTTTTTCCATCTTAGCGAAAATAACTAAACACGTCTCAGTCGAATGGCTGCCAAATCCAAACTAACCTATCAATCAGTCTGAAATTCGTTTTGGCGTGGTTTGATAGATGGCAGCACACGATGACAACACCAATTTCCCTCAGGGACGTCCTCTGTCTTCAAACACGGGTACTTATTGAACCGCCCTCGTACATTTTAATTAACTCATTGTGACTATTTTCTTTTTACACTGCCGGCAGCCCTAATTCGAGAACGAGATAAATCTTGAGCAAGCAGGGGTGATAATTTTTTCGACCTGCTCATCTTGATTTTAATCTTGAACATGGTTGATTCTTGTGGGAGGTCTAATTGGGAAAACGCAATATTTTTTTAATAAAATAGGGGAGAAGAGTAAGTTACGAAACCACTCGGGTTAGTCTAACACTACCGCTAAATGTATTAAAATTGTAATAATTACTGTTATCGATGTTCAAATAACCTGAAGCTCTAGTTATTAGCTAAATTCCCTGCTCCATTTCCAACTAGAGGACGATTCCTCCTTTATTTCATTTTTAGACAAAAGTGAAAGCATATGGGACTCTCTCACCCACAACCACCCTGAATTGATACGTGATGGAAGCAGTGGAGATGTAGCCTCCGATTCCTTTCACCATATTAATGACGACGTGCAACGTATTAAGGATCTCGGCGTCAACTTTTATCAGTTTTCCATCTCCTGGACTCGTTTACTACCCGAGTCTTATTCAAACAGAGTCAGTGAGGAAGGTCTCAGATATTACAACAATCTTATTGATGCTCTAATAGCCGCCAATATAACCCCAATGATCACCCTTTATCACTGGGACTTGCCCAGCCAATTGCAAAAATTGGGAGGATGGGTAAACCCCCTCTTAGTTGATTATTTCGGGGATTACGCTGAAGTGGCTTTTAGAAATTTTGGAGACAGAGTTAAATACTGGATAACGTTTTATGAGCCGTCAGAGGTATGTGATGCATATGGCTCCTCTAACAAAGCTCCAACCAACGTGGCACAACCAGGCATTGGAGAATATCTATGCGTTGATACCATACTGAAAGCTCATGCAAGAGCTTATCACATTTACGACAATGGCTACAGGAGCGATGATGACATCGCAGGTAAACGTTTTCATCACATCTACAAATTTCAATAAAAGTAATGAAATAAACTAAATCATTACAGGCTCAATTGGAATTGCTCTTGCAGTAGGATGGAACGAACCAAATTCAACGGCACCAGAAGATGTTGCGGCAGCAAATAAAGCAATGCAATTCACGGTTAGTTTATATTTTTACTGGATATTTTTAGTACCAAACTAACAACAGTTTTCCAACCAAAATCAATTAACAATTTTCTTAGGCAGGGATTTTTGCCCATCCAATTTTTTCAAACGACGGTGACTATCCGGAAATCGTGAAAACAACGGTAGCAAATCGAAGTGCATTGGAAGGCCTTCCTTATTCACGTCTTCCTGAATTAACGGAAGAGGAGAAGCGGTACATTCAAGGATCATCAGACTTCCTTGGAATCACTCATTATTCAACGTCGATGGTAGCAGCTAAAGAAAATGACCCCATTGGAGAACCCAGCAAAGATAAGGATCTTAGTGTTTTGTCATGGTTTGACACTGCTAATTGGGAAGGTAGTGCTTCATCTTCGTTATGGGTTAGTATTTATTGTAAATGTTTGGTATATATGGCTTTAGAAATCTGTTCTTTTTTAAATAATGTTCAAGGAATCACTTAAGAAGTCCTGCTAGCCCCACAAAATATATTTTCATAATCAAAATAGATTTACTAATCATGATATTATGAACAACAGACTAAGCATTGCAAAAACTGATGTACGAAAGGCAAATCAATAAATTACTGGTACCGCACGAGGCTAAAATTCGGGCAATAACATTAGTTATTTATAGTAATGTTAGAGCGATATTTTCTTTCTTACAACCTAAAAATTATTTTAGATCGAATTCATAACTCTTCCACGATTTTAGAGAGTGAGCGTAACGTCACAATATTGTTCGGCCTTTCTTCTAAATTCACAAGATCATACAGCATTAAGCTGTAAGCACGTCTTGCCGACGCTGCAGTTGATGACTATTCAAGTAGTTATTGATAATTATACTTCAATATTTGAAACACCAACTCCGAAAAAGAGTTACTAATGGCTTTATGTTCCTTTCTGTAAGAACGTAACTAGAAAAACGGGACACATGGTAGAAGTGAAACAAGTAGCAAAACGAATCGCTACAAAATTTTTACTTCAAGTTTTACGGGCAGTTTTCAAACTGGACATGTACATTAACAATGCAATCTGCCCGTTAAACTTGAAGTAAAAATTTTGTTGCGATTCGTTTTTTCACTTGACCGTTGAAGTTTCACTTCTACTACGTGTCCCAGCACACATTCCGTTTTCGCAGGTTTACTACAAATTATGATTTGGTTTTTACACAGACAGTAAATAGAGGCAATGATGCCCAGCCACGTGGAGAGCAGAGGTAAGAATACAACAGCTGAGCACTGCACACGCCGCCAGGACTCTAGCTCTCCGCGCGGCTGCACACTATATCCATCTAATACAGCCGTTGCCCTCTCTCCACCGCTGCCGTCTTTCACCACGCGATATAACGTCTACCCCCTCCACGCGGTCGTAACGCTTTTTCGTGACAGAAAAAAATGGTAATACCCTCCATCTATAAAGAAGTTTCACTTCAAAAATGTAATAAAAATAAAATACCTACGATACATACTTTCTAATTTCATTTTGAGCCAACAACTTCTAAAATTTTGGATTGAATTACTATCAACAAGTATAACAAAATATAATGTGCACAGCTTTTTGGTAAACTCTCCCACGAAAGTTCTTTGGTCACGCTTCTACTTCCGTTGCGAACAAATCAGGATTTTTCCCACAAACAAAATCATAAAATACTCTTAAACTCTTGATGTCCATATTAATTTTGTTAAGATACTCTCAATTCATTAATCTTTTATTTCTTAAGCTCTGAAGTTAACATTTCTCACTTATTCTAACACGATCCAAACTATCCTTAATAAGTTCAGATTGAAATTTACTCCCCATATTTCAGAAAATCAATTAGTTTATAGAACGAACTGCTGAATAAATAAATCGCAGATAATTAACGTCCATCACTCACAATTAGACGTCTGCTAAAAGCCGACTATCTGCGGAACGCAGACTAAACATTGTCTCAATAGTAACGTGACGTCACTGTTCTGAGAAGCTACCTCTAACGACCCGAAAATGTACTGATTTTAAAAGTTATTTTTTACTAACAACAAAAGTTAAAGATGAAAATCATCTTCTTCGACGGTACGATTACCTTTAGTGAACAATTTTCTGTTATAAAACTGCTAAGTATCAAGTACTTTTATATACGTAATAAAAAAATAATAATTTCTCTAACCAGGTTGTTCCATCGGGATTCAGAAAAGCATTACTATGGTTGGATAATGAATATGGCTATCCTATTTATGTTACTGGAAACGGCTATTCAGATCTAGGTGAAATTGAAGATGACCGACGAATTAATTATTATCAGGTTTGTAATCCATATTTGTTAATAACTAATTTATTTAAAAAATAATAATTTCAATTAGGTACTCTAGTTTCTCAACATTAATATGAATTACATTGCCGTGCAAAAGTCTTTGGAGAATTAAGTTTTTGATATATTTACAAGTACAATACTTACAAAAAAGTTGTAAATATTAAAAGGAGTACCTACCTACATTATTACAACTTTTGCAATTACCCCACCATAACCAATTTTTTACTGACAATTTTTCATCTAAAATCAAAAACTACTCTCTACAAAATTAGGTTATGTTTGTTCAAGAACGTGAACTAATTTTGTTCGGGAAAAAAGGACTGCGATTTGTTCATATCATTTTGATGAGCTTTGTCTAAGAACAGTCACATCGAAATTGAAAATTGGGTCGTGAAGCAACAACCCCTGTAAAGTCCCACAGATTGCAATCAATTTCTTCAGTTGGAATTATATTGCTGTGGGGATCTATGTGCGGAAACCACTCACACAAGAAGAAGCATCTTCAGTGAATTAAGATCCACAAAAGAATGACTGACTAATTGACTACTTCAAGAAGGTTTTGTAGCCTGATGAGTCAAAAATTCGAGATTATTGGCAGTAAGACTTGCACTCGTGTGACATATGGAGTGATGGAGGAAATTAAAAATATGGTGCTCTACAGCAGGGATGGCAAACCAATGGCGCGCGTGCCATTAGTGGCACGCGACACAATATTTTGGGCACGTCACTAATGTTTCTGTGATTGATTCTTTAATCAAGGAATTTTCAGCAAGATTTTCTCACTTCAGAGAATTATCGGAAATACTAATATGAAAGTTTATTATGTACCCTGACGTGACATTTGATAAAATAAATTGAAGAATCTGAAATGCAGCTGATTGATTTCCAATCTAGTTCAAAAAGTTGTTGAAACAAGGAAAAAGTTAGAAATAATTGAAACAGAAAGATTGACGGGTAATACAAGTGAAAATGTTAATAACAAAATTTTGGAAACATGGAATGCGATAACAAACACATTTAATTTTTTGAAAAAGCTGGCATATGATATTTTAATAATGTTTTCATCAACCTATGCCTGCGAGTCATTATTTTCAGAGATTAATAACATCAAAAACTCACAGTTACAAACCGTTTGGTAGATGACTCCAGTTCAGCATGCATTCTGCTAAAATTAACATCTTACAATCCCAACATAAGTTATTTGTCATCTAATCTGCAAAAACAGAAGTCACACTAATTTTACTTTAATTTAAGTTAGACGTATAATTTAGACATTGCAAAATGTTCCTATTTTCTTGTAGAACTTTGAGTTGATATTATTTATTATCATTATTTTCCCAATAATCACAGAGACAAAATTATTTGATGGCACGTCTATGACCTGATTAAACTTTTCTTTATAAAAATGGCACAAAGGTTCGCCATCCCTGCTCCACAGCATTGCTCTTACTGTTAAACACAGAGAATGCTCTATGATGGTGGAGGAAGGAGTCAGTCAGTTATACATGATCTAGGGAATTTTAGAAAACGACATCATGTATCATATGTAGAGAAAGACACCAGCAAAAAAAGGCTCACTGGCAGGGGATTTGTCATGCAGAACTTTGCCGAAAGCTTCTGGAGAATAAGAATGGAGATGGTACTGATTTGGAAGAAGAATGGAATAAATTTTACACACAGAAACTCCAATATCTCATTAATAGGAACCCGAGATGTAATAGTTGTAAAAGTGAAAACTAAATTTTTTAATGTAAAGAAGATTTGATATACAACTCAGTGTTCTCTCTTCTACCTAATTTTTAGGTGGAATTGATAGATCTGTTAAAAAAGAAAAAACAAGTTGATAACTGTGCATTTTTGTATTGTATTTGATAGTATGAATAATATGAGATCCAACCCCAAAAATGATTGACGCCCTAAGGCATTTGTACGGTAGTGTAGTTTGTTAATACAATTAAGAATCACCTATTTAGACTTATTTACAAACTTCTTATTTTTTCAGACTTATCTTAGCGCTCTTCTTGATGCCATATATGACGGAAATGCAAATATACAAGCCTACACAGTACGGAGTTTGATGGATAATTTCGAATGGCTTGATGGCTATGTGTGAGTATAACAGTAGAATTACGTCATGAGCGTGACTCAGTACGGACAGAGCAGGGCAGAACAGTGTAGCCCATAGAAACTAAACGTAAAGCACGATTGTTGACGCATATAAGATAACAATTGAAAGTTTAAGCAGCAAGGAAGTGACGTGTAAACTATTCATATCATCATCTTCATAAGGTCATTAGTCCTAAGACTGATTGGACACGCACCTCCACACTTTCCTATCCTGAGCTAATCTTCGCATTTCCTTAAAACTAGAACAACCCACAACCTTAACTATTTGCGAACTGTACTCCAATCTAGGTCTACCTCTACCCCTTCTACCTCCCGTTTCTGCCTCTAATATGTATCTGACCTTCATGCCTGAGAAGGTGCCCTACCCACCTATCTCGTCTATTTATTATTGATTTCCATACCCATCTGTTCTCCTATTATTTCTAATAACTCTTCATTTCTAACCTGCTCCGTCCACAATATCCTCACCATTCGCCTGTAACACCACATTTCGAAAGCTTCTAACCCTTTCCTTTCCGCAGGGTCCACCGTCCATGTTTCACACCTGTACAGTGCCGCGGTCCAAACATACACCTTTAACAACCTTTTTCGAATTTCTAAATTAACCGTTCGCGAGCATAGAAGTAACTTTTCTTTTATTGAAGGCGACTCGACCCTGCGCTATCCTTTGCTTTATATCCCTACTACTCCTTCCGTCCTGACTTATCTGACATCCTAGATAGTTAAAATCGACCACTTCTTCAAATTTCTCATCTCCTAACCTTATATTCGCTCTTTCCCTAATTTTTCTTCCCTTCATAAATGTATTTTTATTGTACTTATTTTCATACAGTATTGTTTGGCAGTACCGCTTCCATTTTATTTAAAGCTATCTCTAACTCCCCCTCGCAGATGCTAGTATTTGCTATATCATCTGCAAATCAAAGCATACTAATCCCCTGTACATCTATACCTACAGCTGTACTGTCTTTAATGATGTACTTCTCTACGTTGCATCCCTAGCTCTATAACTGCCTGCTGCTCTTTATACAAACTAAGTATCACTCTTCTATCTTTGTAATTCATCCCTACATTTTTAAGTATATTTAACATCTTGTCCCATTTGACATTGTCAAAAGCTTTCTCTAAATCTACAAATCCTATGTACGCACTCTTTCCTTTCTATAGTTTCCTTTATTGCAATAAAAATTTCATTGATTGAAAACCTTGATTTTGAATACTACTCTGATGTAGACAATAAGAACCTTTTGGAATGTATAGTGCACCCTAAACTATACTTCTCTGTAATGTCATATGCAGCACATGACACTACGACGTACCCAGTTATTTTCTAAGTCAAAATAGTTGTGAAGATGTAGACTATTCTTTTGCAAATCACTGCAAAGTACATCGACATTTTTTTCAATGAAAAATAAAAATTTGAATATCAATTTATATAAAGTTTTCAAACCAAAATGTGAATGTTCAAATTAAATGCACCATGACAATTTATAATGCAGCACCTTCCATTTATAACAACAATATAAATGTAATATCTGTTTTGAAAGGTCTTTAAGGTACACTGAAATTCTTTCAGTGAAATTCTACAAGAGCTGTTTAGTAATTTATCAATGGATATTCTTAATTTCCGGGTCAGATTCGGATGTCCATCCAGTTTGAAACATAATTATTTCTTTAATAGAAATTGTGACCAACCGGTTCTAGCCCTTCTCTCTACTATTCCTCCTATTAGAAGTAAGGTTAAAGAAGAAGAGAACAGCAAAAATCTTATGTTATTAATTGAAGAGAAATGTATGTCAGATGTCCCTAGCATTAAACTGCATACAACATTAGACGGTTCAACCAATTCAACTAATTTTATTTGAGAACCGAAACAAAAATGTGCAATGTTAGACAGTTTTTGCTTCTAACATACGCAGTCTCTATCAGACGTAGTACTGTTCTGCTTTGCCTACGTCGCAGTTCGCGATGTCCTGTAAGAAGAAGTATCTGACCAGAACCGAGTGGCATGGCCTAGAGATTCCGGGTCCGTCTGCCTTGGTTCAAGTTTTTCTATGGTTTCCTTGAATCGCGTAGGCAAATGCTGGGGCTGTAATATTCCACAGATAAAATCTTTCATTCTCTTCTGCCATCATCTTGTCCCTCTCATTTTTCTCACCCGAACCACCACCCATTCATTCCCACGATTCCTGAAAAGAGGCTGAAGAGAGCCTCCCGTCCTACCTTCCGGCCTAATCCGGAAGAACTTCCCACCCACCAGCATTGGTGGCTAGTGGGAATGAAACACCCAAAAGTTTTTTCGGAATCAGTACCGAGCGGCATAACCTACAAGTTTAAACACTTACTTATTAACCGGGAGAAAACCGGTTAGATTCCGGGTTCTACTGCCCCGATTCAAGTTTTTCTGTGGTCTCCATCCGTATTTTTGTTTAATTTTAATTTATTTCTTTTTTATTTTCAATGTATTTTACATTTGAAGCTTAAGATACCTGTAGTTAATTTAAGTTTGCCCTGATGTGAAATCTTATTTTACACTATATACATCAAATAGATGAAGATATATTGGATTTAGTCCTTGATGTTCCGCCGCGATTCGACTGTACCATTAATTTATAAGCCTATGTGCAATAATTTTATTAAATTTATGCAGTCTGTTTTGTGTTCATATTAATTATATTACAGTGGAATCTGGAATTTAGGACTCGCAGTTTTCTTTTGCACAATAAATTCTATTTAAGGTAGCTAGAATGGTTAGCACTAGACTAATTTGCAGTTTTCATAATCAGAAAAGTAGTGCAAATATTATGGTTAGCCCTACCTTACGTTATGAGTAACAACTTCAATAAGATAACTCTTTTTTATCATTATTGTTATCTTTAAAAATAAGTTTACGTATAAGTACCTACTTAATGATAATACTTAATGAAATACATTTCTCTATTTAATAAGAATAGCGTTTTCAACAATAGTTGTGAATTAATTGTAAATATGACAGGAATGCAATCACATTTTTTAATTAGATTTGTTTATTTTATATACTATGGCAAAAGTTTATAATCCTTCTAGTTTTAAATATACTTGTTCTGTTGAACAAAACTGCCCGTCCTAAGTATGGATTAAGGTGTAAAGGAAAGTAAAAATTTATGTTTATAATATCTTACAAAAATAAAATGCATAAATTTAATATAAAGTTTAGCTATCGCGAGGGCCATACAAACAAATCCAGCAACGAAGCAAAAACTTTTAGGTAGAGGAAGAATGCATATGAAAGTTTCACCACATGCTGCGGTGGCCAAAGGAGGTTATCGGTCATAACCTAAAAAATTAACAAACATGCACAATATGTGACTTGCTCCTGTTGTAGTTTATAGTTATAATTTAAAAATAAATACTTGTAACAAGGGCATTATCAGGAACAGAATAACATCATCATCATCATAAGGTCGTCAGTCCTAAGACTGGCTGGACACGTACCTCCACTCTTTCCTATTCTAAGCTAATCTTCGCATTTCCCTAAAACTAGAACAACCCATATCCTTAACTATCTGCGTACAGTAATCTAATATAAGTCTACCTCTAACCCTCCTAACTTCCGTTTCTGCCTCTAATATGTCTCTGACTAGACCTTCGTTCCTGAGAAGGTGCCCTACCAACCTATGTCACCTATTTTTTATTGACTTCCATAGAATCCTCCGTTCTCCTATTCTCTCTAATACCTCATTATTTCTAACTTTCCCTACTCACGGTATCTTCATCATTCGCCTGTAACACTACATTTCAAACGTTTCTAACCTTTTTCTTTTCCGCCGCGCCCACCGTCCATGTTTCGCACCCGAACAGCGCCGTGCTCCAAACATACATCTTTAACAACCTTTTTCGAATTTTTAAATTAACTGTTCGCAAGCATAGAAGTGACTTTTTTTTTATTAAAGGCGACACGACCCTGCGCTATCCTCTGCTTTATATCCCTACTACTCCGTCCGTCCTGACTTATCTTATTTTATTAGATATTGTTTTCAATATGAAATAATAAACATAATGTTTGGTGTTGCAGAAATCGTTTTGGCATCTATCACGTCAACATGTCAGACCCTGCACGTCCCCGAACGATTAAGAAATCTGGAAATTTTATCAAGCAGGTGATCACTACCAGAAGGGTTACAACCAGTGACGATTCAAGCGGTGGCAGCGATGGTGGCAGCAGCGGCGGTGGCAGCGATGGTGGTAGCAGCGGTGGTGGCAGCGATGGTGGCAGTAGCGGTGGTGGCAGCGATGGTGGCAGTAGCGACAATAGCAGCGGCTTACGAGTTATAGCATTACCTCTGTCCCTACTCCTTCTTTTAACATCTACTCTGGCACTGTCCTAGAAATAGTAAGGCAACTAGGGAATGATTTGATAGTGAATCAATTTCACACTGTTTCGTTAGATGCCAATAGTGGCACAATAAAGTACGAGAGGAATACAATAAATATATCTTCACATAGTTTTGTTGTTTTTAATGTAAATTACAACCATCCATATCCTGGGTTAATGACCCTTTTTGGAATTAGCGGACTGTAAAAATGACAAACTAAAGGATTGAGATAACTAACGCGCTTACTTTCGACATCCAGGATGTTATCGCTTAATCGGAATTAATGTTCTATCACAGGGTCACATATAGTCAGAGGAGTGGTAAAGATAAATAAGAGCAAAGATTGATAGGAAACAGTTTATTACATATTTAGTAAATGCTTCCGAACGTATTCCAAAGTGCCTGTCCAGCTGAACAGTGTTGTATTTCTTTTGTTTTATTCTGTCCATTAAATGTTTATTAGGTACTTGTTAGATTAAATTAAGTGTAATTAAGGATGAATATGTTATAGCCAACCTGTAGTAATTTGTTCCTTTAACCTTTAAAGTTTAAAGGCTTGCATTGTACAGTTTAATAACCTAACTCAGCAATATCAGTCATTGGAGTAGGTCAGTATGCCACCGACAGTTGTTGCAATGATGTGATGTTGAGATATGACTTATTTGGAAACCTGAACCGTATCACCGCAGTAGAAGACGAAATTCTTTATTTCATAGAAGATAAATGTAACAATGTGTTAACTCCCAAAACAATAGACGTGTAATGTCATGGAACGTTGGCTCCTCTCATTTGACAGTGTATCAAATTTGAATGGAGCAGTTGCAGCATCCTTATTGTTTGCAGCGAGTGGAAACCTTGCAGGAAACTGATTTTTAGTCGCGAGTAGATTTGTGCCAGTGATTTCGACAGAAAACTGTTGCAGAGTTTTTCCAAAGGGTATTATTTACGAACAAATGTTACTTTTTGATTTTTGTACTTTTGTACAATTATCTTAGAAGGGTATGGAAAATATCACAAATGGCGCGGTAAACGCCATCTGTAGTACGATGCTACATTTTAGGATTACGTATGCTCCAACAAGGTCAATTTAAATGTATGGATATCTACTTGCTGAAACGAATCTTGGCGTAGCTAACCTCAACGTGATAGGCACGTTACCATAATCGAATAAAATATATTTTATCCATATATTTGAATGGACCTTGTTGGAGCATACGTAATCCTAAAATGTAGAATCGTACTACAGATGGCGTTTACCGCGCCATTTGTGGTATTTTCTAAAACGCGCTGTTAAGACAGCAGGTAAAAGTTGGTCTGTGTTCTGTCGGAGCTG